TTCGATTCATTAGTCGGCTATTGGGAAGATGCCGTTGTCAATAAGATCAACAAAGAATACGATCGGCTCATTCAACATCTTCACGTTACCGCTATGAAAGCTGAGAGTTCGAAAGTCAACAAGAGACGCCTGTCTCCAGAAACACTTGAACTGATATGCTAGCGTGGAATCGCCGAGCTGCAGGCAACGGCGAACTAACGTCGAAACTTGCAAAGCAATGTAGACAAGCGATAAATGAAGATGTTAAAGAGAGAAGAGCAGCATTAATAATCGGAGTTGCGGGCTGGGAAAAGCATTTGCAAAGCCCACCGAAGCTTCGCCAATTACAAGACTAAGATGACTGCACTCCGACGCTCAGACGGAACAGTTACAACGTCCAGAAAGGCAATTGAGAAAATCATTCACGAATACTACTCAGATCTCTTCGATAGTCACGTCTACCTTCCGTCATATGAAATAAAGGAGGGCTGCTATGTTGTACTACCGGTTCTCCCTTCCGAAATCCGACATGCTATTTCGTCGGGGTGAAAAATCGAACAGGACCAGCTCCGGACAGGATAAGATCTCAACACTTGAGGAAACTTCCGCCAGTCCTCGTAAATACACTGACCCGGCTGTTCACACGTTACCTGTCTGAATGAAAGGTCCCTACTCAGTGGAAGACCAGCAGGATCGTGTTATTGTTCAAGAAGAGTGGCGTACACGATATCGGCAACTATAGCCCAATCTGCTCGATGTCTGTCGTCCACAAACTTTTCTCTGGAGTCAACCTAAATAGGATTGACAGAACGCTAGACGAAGGACAGCCATATGAGCAAGCAGGCTTTCGAAAGGATTTAGTACGATGGACGATATCCACACGATAAGAAGACTCAGTGAAGTATCACGAGAGTACAAAAGACCGCTCCGTCTCACTTTCATCGATTTACAGAAGGCATTTGATTCAATTAAAATAGAAGCCCGCTCGGGTCACTCGACGATCAAGGAAACTAGAGGTGATACAGGTGAATATTATTGTTGTAAAAGAACGTAAAGTTAAGATATCCAAAAGCTGTGCACTATCTATGCCATTCTAGCCATATAGAAGAGAAATTGATTCACCAGACAAGTCAAGATCACCTACTCAAAGCATTGAACTTCAATTAACAAAATCACTTTGGTGAAAATCTAGAAGCAATTCCAACGAAAACTGAAGTAAAGAGATTTTGTCGATGCAGGAGAGAGAAGGATAGAAGTACCGGAACAAGTCGTTCGTTATAAGCTTTGCAATTTTACGTTCAAAACTTTCATACTGCATAGTCAGATAATGTTCTATAAAAAGACATAAAAAGGCAGATATTCTAGCGGTTATTGCTAATAAAGTTCTTGTTTGCAAAATTTAGGACCTCAGGTGTTTGCGGTAGGCATCGAAAACATTATTACCCTTTCAAGGAGCTAAGGCTTTCGCCATCATTGACTGCTGATAAAAAGGTAAAGGATAAAGCTCTCGGCGTTGATCAATCCCTGAGGGATGCGCCATGCATTCGACTTCATTAAGTATCGTTGGAGGTGATTGAGTGCATTTCTGGCCTTTACAATGATTCACGGTGGCCCACCGCTGTATCGAGCCAGTGTTGCCATCCTCCCAGACAAGTCTGGTACCAATTTGCCGACTATGGAGAGATGGAAGGCTTGGTGGGCCAAGGGCTCGGGAATCGATTCCACTGACTGCTTATAGCACCTATGAAACCCGAATGAGAGAAAGACGAAGCGAATAGCCCACATGGTGCGGTGGTGAAAGCGTTGGCAAGTAATGGTGTGTTCGATCCCCAACGCAAACGCCTGCGGTCCGGGGGTTTGCAAACGTCTTACGATCGTTGTAGTTATATCTCACTTCCTACCTTGCCTTGAAAAAGAATAAGCAGTAGAAATATAGCAGCTTGCCGAAATTAAAGTAACGGATCTTTGTAAATAGAACCACTTTATTGGCGAATTTGGAAAAATTTTTTTTGCTCTTTTATTGTTTGAATGTAAAGTACTGAAGAAGTAAAGGGCAACAAAGAGGATTCTACAGCTGCTGAAACTATGCATAAATTTTATATGTTGATGATAAGTCTTATCACAATCACATAAATAGATGGAGAACAAATCAAGGTGCATTTCATCTGTCTTCAGACGAAGTTACGTTACGAAAGAATGACTTAGCGAAAATGGATGTATGTATGAGCGTGACTTCATGAAAACATAGGACACTAAGGCAACAAGTAAAACACCGTACACGACTTCAGCCCATAATTCTACTTTTTGTGAAAGGACGGAGAGGCAACTAAGAAAGTGAGGTTTGACTTTGGCAAGGTGTATATACGGGAAGTAACATTTGAGATGGAATAGCTCGAAAAACTGCACCCCGCTTCCGTTGGAACCGTAACAAATTTTTTCAGTGCTTCTGAGCCAAATTTGCACGGTATGAAGCAGCTCTGTTTACTATTCACTTTTTGAGCGCCATAAATTCAAAAACCGTTCTAAAACATGGTTTTTCATCCTTAATACTCTTGAGTTCTATCTAATAGGAATGATTAAGTTCGTTGTATTCTTATATTGTCTTTGTTCTACCTTTCAACGAGGAACATAAAATTGCTTAATTAAAAGCAAATTTTTCTCAGCGAAATAGAAATGATTTTTGACAGCCACTAGAGAACAGTCCCATTTGGGAATAGATGAAAAATGGGAATAGATGGGAATAGATGTTGCACTGGTGGCGAAGCGCTGAAGCATAAACAATAAAACATTCGGTATTGATCAATACCTAAGGGATACCCCATCCATTCGACTGTATTGAGCATTGTGTAGATGAATATGTACATATTTCTCAGACAGAACCAGTTTCGATTCTATAGCCTGATGATAAAAAAAATCACTGTTTTCAACCTCCGAAACAGGTCTATTACCGAACTGCCAACTCTGGTAGGATGGAGGGTTTGGTTGGCACTGAGCACTGAAATGAAATCAATGGTCATTTGTTTATATTGCAGGGCATCTCTAGCCATTACGCTGCGCTTTCCCATTGTCTATGTCCAGAAATTCAACTAGTTATAAGTATTTTAATGAGGAATTGTCCATACAACGAAACCGAGATTGGGCATGAGCGACAGCGATCTCCGAGGAATTCGATAAATTCGTCAGCGTTGGTGTTATTCAACTTAGCAACTACAAAACTAAAGCTCTAAAAGCCTTCGGCGTTGATCAATTATAGAGGGACGTGCCATGCAATCGACCTCATTAATCACCGTTTGGAGGTAATTGAATGCATATCTGGCCTTTGCAATGGCTCACGGTGGCCTAGCGATGTATCGAGCCAGTGCTGTTATCCTCCAAGACAAGTCTGATACCAATTTGCCGCCCCGGAGAGAACGAAGGCTTGGTGGGCTCTTGGCACTGAGATCGATTCTACGCGTGTGTTGCCGGGTGCCTCCGACCACTGCGCTACATGAACCAACTGCAGAACTACAAAGGGTGCTATGTAAATTTAAATAAACTCAGCTCCTCGCTGACATTCTCATGCATGAGTTCAGAATCCGCACCCTTCTTAATAGTCTACCGATTTTTCGGCCTATCGTCTCGTGATTAACGCAACTCCTTCACCCCCTCGCTGAGAGACTAATAGGGTATTCGCGAAACAACGTGACACGTCCTCAGATGGCGGACAAGAGGTTAAATGCAGACCAGAAGTGAGTATGGGCTTTTTTGTGATGCAGATGGATCCAGGGATAGACTCTCCGATTCTGTTGTGGCGACTTGACACACTGCTTTTGTGCTTACGTAGTTATTTTCATGAAAGCTTGAGTGGTTGACCGTGATCACGTATATTCAAATTATATTTCACCAGTCTGTTAGACCAAGATCTTGTAAGCAGCCGACTGGAAAGAATGTCAGTTGGTATTAGTTGTCCCAGAGAAATTCGCACCACGTCTATCAAGGGAGAGGCTGGCAAGTAATCCGCTATACATATCTACGCTAAGAGCTTGATAAGTTACAAAAACTCTTTAAATTTCAGCACAATCTCCATTTGTTACTTTGCTAGTCGGGTAGGATTTATTTTCGCTGGAGTCTTTAGTTAATCCAGATTAGTAACCAGATTTCCCATGCTGTCACCACAGACAGCTGCCTACCGTTGTGGATTAGAAGGAAATTTCTAAGTTGTGGATAGATTTCTCTCAAGACGGCCGAAATTCCTTTCATTAGTTCATTCTTCGTCGAGTCTAACAAAGATGAAAATGTCGAACTCTTTAACTTGAACGATAATACTGGTTGGTTGAAATGTGCACCTTGCATTGCACTTCGATACCCAGGAACGCTTTATCCCAGCGACGTTATTAACGACGGAGTGAAAGGCCACGGAATTCCATGATTAATTCAGTTTTCGTTCAAAATTCCGAAACTCTTTGAAGTGAAGAACGTATAGCTCGCATATCTGCATTTCGACATTTGAGCAAATATACGGGTAAAACTATTATTGTCCGTGTGTAGACCTAAGAACGATTTCTATGGTTGATTTATAGCTCTTCCTACCGACATTCTAGGTTTAACTTGCTGTCGATTTGTTTCCTTAACAACAAGATTAATAGCAGTTCATTTCGTAATGGCTAAACATCTGGGGAAATGCTGCATCCATCTGAACTGTTTTAATGGCCAGGTTGTATTGTGAAGCAAAAAAGAAACGTTTCAACCACTACTTTATCATATTAACTCGATCTGGACACTATTCTGAAGTGCCACAGTATACACTTATGTCTTGAAGAAGAAATTAAACAGGCCTAAATGTCACCAACACTGTTTAGTCATCAGTCACCATAAAAACTAATCTGTAATGATATAATAAATCGTTCAAAGAAGAATGCATAATAAGCGACTGATCATACATTGACAAAAGCTTCAATACGAGAAGTAGTGGTTTTTAGGAGCAATAAGATAACAGCGGAAACCACAACGGGAGACTTCATTCCCACTTGATTACTGCACACCTAGAGGGCATCAGTTCTAGTAGTCAAATTCACTCGTCCAAAATGATGATCATACACATGAGCATCAGATTTAATGAAAGTTAGCATCGAACGAATGGCTATGTCATTTTGTGGATCCTCCTAGAATATGATAATGTTATACAAAAGTAGTGAAGCACTCATCAAACTCTATTTATTTTATATTATATTTTTTAAACTTTATTCCCATTAAATTTGAACACACACACACACACACACACACGCACACATACACACACCTATACACACACATGCACACACACATCCAGGTCCACGCACATGCATAACGCATGTTCACACATGCATGCTTGCAAACCCGCACCACAAATGCATCAACAAGCAGACATTCGCACACATACGCTTATACACACGGCACAATTATGAGCATTGGATAATCGCTGCTTAAATTTAATTTCGTTGAGCGGAAATCACACGAAAATCATTTTAAATTTTTTTGAGGGGCTCTTCTGTAGTTCTGAGATTGCAAGTCTGTGAACAACATGTTTACTTCCGTACTATCTTATCAGCAATAAAAGAGATATAGCTCTAATGAATGTAATTGCTACTCAAAGGTGAAAAAGCGTTCAAGACAAACCACAGTTTGTTGTCGATGACGAAACCAACGGTCACCGATCAAAAAGGGGTTGGCTTAATTGGTTTCGTACCCACCTTCAAAGCGGATGAATTTGTATCCGTTAGCGTGATAGAGCACGGTTTCGTTGACTGAACACAAATACTTCACGTTTGCAAAATAAAGATTCATGAAAAATCTTACGCAAAATCGTACCCACCTCGTTGAGGGTAACGGGAATACGCGAACCTTGACTAATTTGTAGCAGGCGATTCTCAAAAAATGTAAGAATGCCTAAATTAATTTGATAGAAAACTGAAAATTTGATTAGATACAACCAGTGTCGTCTAAGAAACATGTCGGTATGGTTCATTCTGTACACATAAGTCAATGACGAAACCAACAGGGAGAAGGTCGTTGGTTTCTGCACTATCGAATGCTTTCTTATAGTCAAGGAGAGAATAGTGAAGCCGTAGGAGACATTCTCTGCAGACTAATAGGACTAACGAGAACGTTTGTATGTGGTCCATGGAATCCAATTCCTTGAGAACTCAACCTTATGCTATACGTTTTCTATATCTATGTTCTTACTCTATCGATATCATATTTCAGCAACCTTTTGACCGTACTTCACATCACGGGTTGCCATGAAAAAAGAATAGGAGCAAGTAAAAAGTAAGAAATAGTGATTTGGTGTGATGGTGTGATGTGCTTGCAAGAAAATAGTGCATGTGATGGTAGCCAGTTAGTAAAAGATCAGCCGAAATAGTGGGTGATAGAAAAGCCTGCACTTCGAGCTTAAGTACGTAGCACTGTTCTTGTCGTCCCTACGTTAGACTACTACTACTACTACCATTAGATTTCGTTCAGGAACTGTGGGCTATAAAAGATTTTTTTGGAATTTTCTGTTATTTATCCCATCGCACTGCAAGAAATTGCAACGTTCGTTAATCGCTGAGAACAGGAGGTGGAATGTGGTATTCACGAAAATATCGATGAAATTTCATGCCGTCTTCATGGTATTTTGGGAATCCTCTGTCGATATCGAAGAAGATTTTCCCGCTGTGTCTTCATGCAAATGATGTTGATGACCACTTGCTCAATATGTTTAGCATCAGGATCTGGGTTTGAGCGTCTCTTACTTTCCAGAAACTCTCCCTACTGTTTGGTAGCTATCCTTTGCATCAAAAAGCGTTATTCAGCAAAGGTTCGAGAAGTTTCCAGCAGCATTTCGTATTTCTTTGGCGGGTCCCCTTTTCAGTGTCAGTTGTAATTAGGTACAGCAATACTGTGGATGGATTCCTTACACAAAGCTTTTTTCCTTCTTTTCGCAAGACGGCAGCATTTTTGGGCTGGTGCTAATTTTCGCACAAAGGAGGTGATGATGATCTGGTACGGTGCAAAAGGTTGGAATAACACAAACGTCAGCTACATTACATCAACTGTTTACAAAAATTTGTTCGTTCTCCACAAGAGACGCACCGTTTGGAGATTCTGAAGCCCAGCGGTAATGGCTTTCCTTCTGGGAAAAGAGTTCTCACAATGAGACGACACGAGTTTCATTCCCACTGCGATGTCTTCAAGCAGAATTTCCGATCCATTGCTTTGCTCGTGTAGTTTCTATTCTTGCTTTAAAATCTCAAGCAGCAAATTTTTAGAAAGACTTCTTAGCACCGCAAGATTCTCGGGATTGCCACAGAAGATATCATTTTTCCCTGTCGATCCTGGAGGACGCAATCCACGTGTAAATAACAGCACTGAAGCGGGAAGGAAAGCATAAATCCTTTCTACCAGGCACTGAGAGAAAACTCATTTGATGAATCCACCTGCAACCCAGCAGTTAAGGAGATGGTCACATCTGGTCCAAGTCTAACCAAATAACGGCCACTAGAAGCTGCGCATGTAGTTTCGCCACCAACTGGCCTGAGATCTCTCACATAAGGAAGATCAGTGGACGTATGAAATATGTTGTAAAAATTTTATGGTCTGACTTAACAGTCAAGTACAAAAAAATTGAAAACACTGTATTTCCTCAAAAAAAGTGGTTTTCTACAGCACTAGTCTCCTAGGAACTTCGATTTCTGAAGGTGTAATTGATGGAACTACTGCACAGATGCTCCACAAGTTTTGTGATTTTATCTATTTGTATTTTCAGATAAACCCTTTTAGTTTTTCCTTATTCGAAAGTTAAGGATAATTCTACACGGTGATCATCGCGTACCTATAGTTGATTTTTCGACACATTGATACGTCGAACTGTTGACTACCTTCATTAAAGGCATTCCGAAGAAAAACAAAATCGTAATCAGTGGATCAAACTGGAAAATTGTTGGCTGTTGGCTTTAATGAATTTCGCTTTCGAGCTAGCCATTTTATAGGTAATAAGCTGAAAACACTAACCGTGACATTGTTCGGCATGACGTCACCAAGACCAATGGTCGAGATTGAGATGAACGAAAAATAAAAGGAAAGAAAGTAGTCGATTCCTGTCTCTGGTGGTCCTGAGAGTTTGTCGTAGATGAATATGAATGTTGTCGTTCCCATCAGATATGCTGGAAATTGATAATATCAATTATGATAGACCTTAAAGCAAGCCAGTGCTTGTAAGCAGTGACACACCGAACATGATGACCATACACAACAGCACAGGCAGCGTGAACATTTCACCTTCTTCGATGTCATGTTTTGAACGAATCTTCCTGCAGTATTTTTTGAATCAATAAAATCCTTTCACGTGTTTATACTTTGACGCTAAAAGTTAATGAATAGGCTTTATCAATCTAGTTCTCCAAGTGGGTAGCGTATGGAGTGATCTGAGGTGCCTTGGAATGCAATCATTGCTTGCTTTTTGTTCAACCACGCGTTGCGGATCACCGGCTAACCAATCCTCCCGCTCTTCGTGGTTCAGCAACTTGGTACCAGACTTGTCCAGAGAGGTAAAAAGTTGACTGAGTTGACACATCTATGGGTCATAATTAGTAATTTTGTATGCCACAAATGTATTCAATCATCGAACAGCAAAATGATTGACCAATGCTGGGCGCTTTGTGCTTTTTGTGGTTGTTTTTCCATGTGTATCCACCACTTACGTATTTATTGCTATTAATGTTTAATTAACTACTATTAAATGTATATTTTCACCCAATGATTTACCGCTCCATCATGAATGGAATATGTTCGTGGGTGTCGGGCTGCGATGTGCAGCGGGAAGATTCGTCACCCGACAGTGTCTGCCAAGCTAAGAAGAAATCCGGCGTTTCCATCAGAAAGCCCAGCTAAGACTAAACCAGTACCAGGATGCACCATCGTCCTGGTATAAAACTAGTCTCATAGTGCCAAATCTCTTTCTGATTCACAAAGGCCGGCGACTGCCTATGGTGGTGAAAACCTGGAACAGACTTTGGACGAGGCCGACCTCGGAATTCCAGAAAGCCACAGTGGCTGTACTAGCAAAACTCTGAGAAAAAAAAACGGAAATTATGCTGAAGCCCGCACAACTAGTGAAGAAGGGCCATCCAAGTAACCATGTAAATGTATATTTCGTACTTATTTTCTGCCTTACGTTCCATTACAAAGCTTATTGCAGGGATCTCTTATTTACTCCGTACATTTGAAATATTATCCAAAAACACTATTTGTTGCCCAATGAAGTAAATCTGAGTAATTCTTTATCTGAACAACGCACAGTGTTACTGTATTTTTATGCAGTTTGAACGTGCTCTCAACTATAAACCTTCGTATTGCCACTAGGTTTTAATTCACCTGTGCCCTCATTTACACAATGCGTTTTCTAGAGGAACAGTCTCATTTTCAATAGCAGAACATCAGGTTAGCCTCTCATTTTAAAATATGGAAAGAATTCCTCTTTGTCGATCCTATTTACTCTCGTAATTTTAGTCTGAAAGTCTAACCGTTCTCAAATGGCAAAATCCTAAGTCGGCTTCCACATTCCAAATATTGAATGGACTTGACCACTATGAAGTGCATTTTGTTTAACGCGCACACGTGAACTCTTATTCAAAAATCATTTTCACGATGTTTCACTGATAACGCGAATCGGAGCCGATTTGATTAAGATAGTTCTGGAATGCTGGCAATGTTCAGCTGGCAAAGTCAACAGTGGATCCACAAGAAATTTGGATATTCCTATTAAAGGTATCTGGCGACGCTAAGAATTTTCAACCATATATGTGAAGTTTTCTTTATTAATTTCTATTTTTATTTGAATCGCCTTTACGTCTATTTTGCAGATCTCAGGACTTTTCACATTCAATTCGTTTCCTCGCATCCATTGTCCACGAAGATCTTCCAACTTTACGTGTGGCTTCGGTTGCTGCTTGAGGATTTTCATTTCATCTTGAATGTCGTAAAATGCTGATCGAGCAATTTTTTCTGCAGTCCTGAGATAGCCGTACTGGAGCGTTGCCAACTGGATTGCAATGAGATTTTTTCGCAGACAAGTCCGGTACCAATTTCCCGACTCCGGAAGGATGAGAGGCTTGGTTGGCACGCGGAGCGTAATCGAACTAGCACCATGCTCATGATGATGAGCATCATTACTACTGTGCTATCCGCTCCCTTTGTATGTGAAGTACAGACAATATAAGTAGTTGAGAGATAGAAGATAGAACTAGTTGGGAGAGAGACGATACTGAAGACTGGCACGGTATGGTGGTGAACGTGTTAGCCCTCAGAAAGGGTAATAGCGCGTTCGTTCCTCACCGGGGAAAACCTGCGGTCCGGAGTTTTGCAAATATCTCAGCATCATTGTGATTGCATTATGAGTAGTGTTCTTTACCTCCATCGTATGACTGCTTTGGCATATATGTTAGTCAGTACAACTAGAGTCCAATTTCCCAGATGTCTAATGACAACCAAGGTTAGTGGAACAAAAAGAAATCCGTAGATGACTACACAGGACTTGCCAAGTATTGATTCAGGTGCTATTGAACCTATAAAAATAGTGATTGGGGACATAGACTGAATGAATGACATCCAACACAAACCTACCGTAACCCGTGGTAGTGAAAACGTTCATTGAGAAGAAGAAGCTGCTTCCGAACGTCCACATCATGTGGTTATTCGGGTCTTCATCCTTGTAGAAAGTACTACCAACATAAGCAGCTTCTTGTTGAAGCAATGTTTTGTAGGTATTCTAAAATATATTATATGAGCCTTGCGTGAAAAATTCACTAAATAATAAGAGATGGAATTGCACCATTAATAGGAATTGAATGAAATCATCTCCGAGATTCTATACAGTTTGACTAAAGCAGCGCGAAAACACCTTTGGGGCAGGGTTCAGCTCAGTAGATTTCTTCAGAAGCTTTGCAGTTTCTAATTTTTTGCGCAGAAATGTACAATGAATCTAACTTCGTTAAGCACCGTAGAAGTAAATGAATATATTCCTGGATATGAAATGGCAAAGCAAGAATCTTGGTTGGTGCAGTGGACAGCACATGATCCCCGCCCCATGAGTAATTTCGGATTCGAGGATTATCTGCAATCCTCCGTTTTGCTCATATCTCAGCACTCTTGTAATTGAATAAATAGCTGTTCTATATAACAAAATACCGTGATATACCGATGCATCAAATGCGCCAAGGTCAAGTCTGGTACTTTGCAGTGCACCTCCAGACATTGCGCTGCGATTTTTGCGATTTAATGAATCTATACCGGATGGAAAATCTTTAAGCAGTAAAACATGAATTTGTGATATTGGGCTATCTGTAAGGTCTGAAATGTACGTCTTCACATCCAAGAAACCTATGGGTTGACGTGGGTTCCTTCATTCCGCAACAAAGTGCTTGTGATTATCGCTAGTCTTCATTCCAGTCGTACATGGTGACTCCAGAGTGGACATTGTGGACCTGCTGACTTACGTGTAATGATTATCGTGAGGGTGGGGCTGTGGTGGGACGTAGCGCGTTTGTAGTGATGTCGCCATTACGCATAAGGGCTAACCAAACGAGGCGCTGGTTCGACATTCTACTAGGTCCGAAAACTGGTTCTATATTTATCTGGGTTTATCTCACTACACCTAAGCGATATGGGAACGTCCACTCACGGCTATCAAAGAAGGGTACGAAGACTGGTGGCTGACGAATGCAAGAAGTGTTGAGATCCATTGATACGACGTGTGATCCCGGGTGAGCCAAAAAAAGGTGATATGTATAGCTCGTATGAGTCATGATTGTCCAGCACAGATGTACTAGGTTTGCTGTTAAACAATGTCGTGTTGATTTCCATGACCATTATCATGACTTCCGTGATCGCTATTGACTTCGGTACCAATTAATAATTTGCTGTTTTGTTGAAGAAAACGCATAAAGTTGTTATTACAGTGTTTATTTACAGTAGCTGACGTTTCTACGGCTTTTGCTATCTTTAGAACCTAGAAAGGTTAAATTGACACGTAATTCGGTCAGCCAAATACCTCCCTAACCTAGGCTAACATGTGTAGATCCCAGCACTTGTTTCGTTCGATTCGTTTGCTAACATCCGTCTACTACGACAGTCTTCAAATTTGGAGGCTAGACTACCCGAATCATGCAACAGCTATGCTAAATTGTTTCAGGTTTTATGAACCAGAGCGAGCTTTTCAGACAAGTCTAGTACTAATTCACTAACCTCAGCGAATAACGGACTTAATTGGCTCGGAACAGGGTCGAACAGGGGCCCTACACGTATTGGGCGCCATTTCAGCCGCTTGGCCATCTACCCCCACGTGACTAAATTACTGACAAAAAGAGAATAGAATTGCTAGTAGTTTGCCCTGGCGCAGAGCTTGATCTAAACGGTGTAGAATGAAGAGCTTACAGGTGGCCGGACCAGCCTCATTCCTTCCACACTGAAAGATCCCGATCACGGCGGCGCTGGGCAGTACGGATAAAAAAGGCAAAAAATAAAGCTTAGAGTTGATCAATTCTAGAAGGATACGACATGCATTCAACTTCATTAAGCGTCTTTGGAGGTGATTGAATGCACATCTGGTCCTTATAATGACTCGCAGTGGCCTGCCGATGTATCGAATCCACGCTGTTAACCTCTCAGAAAGTCTGGTACCAATTTTCCAACCCCGGAAGGATGGAGGGCTTGGTTCGATCCCATTTGTATTGCAGACCGCACGGCAGCGTTAGGCAGAATTGGTGCTAAATGGTGCCAAAAGGTCACTAAAATCTCGAGGCCATTCTATGCTGTCTATGTCTTGATGGAAAGAGGTTACGATCTGTACTACAATGCGCACTCATTTGCTCCTGAGTCCACCATAGCGGACCTGATCAAGCAGACAAGAAGGACAAGGAAAGACGTCATCAGACTTCGCTGCAATGAGAAAACCCATCCATTCAACGCTGCCTTTGACGCCGAAGAAGAGCTGCTCCTCGGAACATGTAATCTACGGAAATACCATCTTCATCAAAGAATTTAGCCAAGAGCGTCAACTCTTTTAAATAACTGACAACATGAATCTGATGCCTATTTTTGACGACATGTAGATGAATATCGCATCTCACTCTCTTCGTAGCTTACGCAAGGCTGTGGCGAAGACAAATTCAAAGCGTTCTAGATAGACTTGGAATAGTTTTACAGAGAAAGCAAATTCTTTAAGGTCATCAATGGAGATTTTAACACCAAGATTGGACCAAGAAGAAAGTCTGAAGAACGTCACATTGGGACCCACGGATTAGAATGGAACGAACAAGGTGATCGGCTGTCCGAGTTTATCATGACGACGAAGACCATCCACATCCCCAGAAACCCCGACGTATGTTCTGGACGCGGGAATCTCACAATAGAGCGTACCAAAACGAGGCAGACCATGTCATAGTAAATCAAAGGCTTTCATAACCGATACCTCTGCTGTCTCAGAATTCCATACGGGATCAGAGAAACAACAATATAATAACATCGCCTTCTTCGTCCAGGATCCCATTCTCGCAAAAAGAGGAAAAAGCTACTAAATTCAAAGCGAAGTCCGAAAACCACCACAAATTGGGATTTGTTTAGCTCATAAGCCGGCTGTTAGAAAGATGCCCTCCTTGATAACATCGACAAGGAGTACGATCGGCTCATTCAACATCTTCACGTTACCGCTATGAAAGCTGAGAGTTTGAAAGTCAACAAGAGACGTCTGTCTCCAGAAACACTCGAGCTGATACGCCAGCGTGGAATCGGACAAACTGCAGGCAACCGCGAACTAACGTCCGAACTTGCAAAACAATGCAGATAAGCGATAAAATAAGACCTTGAAAGAAGAAGAGCAGCAATTATGGTTATAACTGCAGAAGCTAGTAAGAACACTCGCAAGGCACACCGAAGCTTCTCCTATTACAAAGCCAAAATGATTGCACTCTGACACCCAGACGGAGCAGTTACAGCGTCCAGAAAGGCAATGGAAAAAATCATTCAAGATTACAACTGGGATCGCTCAAGTAGCAACGTCCTCCTTTCCTCACATGAATTAAAGGAAGATGGATGTGTCGCCCCATAGGTCTTTCCTCCCAAAATCCGATATATTATTTCGCCGTTGAAGAATCGATTAACATACACGTCTGAACAGGATAAGATCTGAACACCTGAGCTTCTCACCAGTCCTCATAAACACACAAGGTCGGCTTTTCATACCTTACCATTCAGAAAGCAGAGTTTCTATTCAATGGAAAACAGGCAAGATTGTGTTATTGTTAAAGAAGAGTGACTCCCACGACATCGATAACTACTGTTCAATCTGCTTCCACTCTGTCGTCTACAAATTCATCACTGGATTTATCCCAAAAAAGATTGACAGAGCACTAAACGAAGAGCAACCAGATGAGTAAGATGGTTTCGAAAAGGACTCAGTGCGATGAACCACTTCCACACGATAACAAAACTCACTGAAGTATAGCGAGAGTACAAGAGACCACTCTGCTTTACTTTCATCGATTTAAGAGGAGCTTTTGACTTAGTTGAGCTAGAAGCATTCATAAAAGCCCAGGACGGTTAGAGCGTGCCTGCCTACTTGTTTGAATAATTGGACGGTTCGTCCTAATGAGTAGTGGTGACCCCAACACATTTTCCACTCGTTGCTTTCACTCGCAGTCGTCGTCCACGGTCGTGGTTTACTCAAGCACGGTGGCGGTTGAGAATCTCAAGTCGTGATCTGTAACCCATTCACAGCTGCTACAACAGGAGTTTGATTTCAGTTGCAAATATATTTGCAAAACATGTAAATGGTCGTCAAAAGAGACTCCTTCTTCTAGAGTCCACTCTACAGTTTTTTCGTCCAACTGCTGCTTGTTCTTCTGATTATATGACCGGCCCAACTACGTTTTGGTATCGATGTGTGTTTACTTCGATCTGGAAGATGTGACAAATTCCGAAGATCAGAGTTTCGCATCTCACCTAGGTACTGCGTGTACCAAGTATCTATATCTCAAAAGACATCCTTTAAGCGCTCTCCGACTAATGCGCAGTATTCGTGACGTGGTTGAAGTGTCAGTCCATGTCCCTGCCGCATAACACAGCGCTGGCAAAACTGTTAAATCAAAAAGGTGAGCACGGAATTTCGAATCTCGTCGACTAAATCTCACAAAAACGATGTTCATGAGGAACGGATTGGTTTTGTATGCCCCATTCACGGTTAGCGAAACGAATATCTCCAAATGTCCCAATTAGGTCTATTTACGTCGGGAAATTTACACGACAAACAACTTAGCTCTAATGTTCAGCAGGTGAAAGCGAGCGATCTGAGGAGGTTTCAGGAGCATCGAGAATGTAATGAGGAGAATAAAAATCACCGGACCGTGTGCCCGCCTTCTCGGCTTAACGCTTCTTCCTTCCTTAACGTATGCGTTAGAAACGTTGTCGCTGCGTGAACAGGATGGAAGTTTACTCAGCTTTATTGAACGCGCCGTCGAAAGGACGATTCTAGGAGTATAAGCGTAATGGCGCTGAGATATTTGCAAAACTCCGGACCGCTGGTGTCTGTAGTGGGGACTGAACCAGGAAATTTTCCATTCTAGGAGTATCCCGCATCACGGAAGTGAGCGAAGAGATCCGATCTACGTCAACGATCAAAAGTCGAAGACGCCGTTCTGTACGCCAAACAGTCGAAGATAAAGTGGGCTGTACACATAATAGGTATGAACGACAACCGATGAACGGAAGACGTCAGTGATCGGGTACCTCGGAATTTCAAACGCACTATAGGAAGACCACCGATCTGATGGTGAGAGTTGTTCATGTAAAGGTTAGAAGAAAGATATGTTGTTCGACGAGTCACTAGGGCAAAAAGAGCAACTGCAGAACTTTTGCGCGAGAGAATGGAAAATTTCCTGGTGCCCGTTCAAGTTATTCGACGATCAACGGGCAAGTGAAACAGGTGATACTGGCTCCGAGTGGGATACTTAATGATTAACATGATTGCTGATGATAAAGAGCGAACATCCATTGAATGGGTTAAACACCTGTGCTTAATTCACCAGGCAACGCTATACTCTACAGAGCGAAGCACCTCTTTGACAAGTCGGTATTTTATCCACGCCAGTCCTTCGTGGAAGAATCAAATGGATTGCCTAACACAACTCCGTTGTGGTCAAGCTAGAGGATAGGTTGGGTTGCCTATCTCTTCATTTTTTAGAGTGGAAGTTAGCTTTGTCAATTTATTGTAGCTTTTCGTAAGTTCGAGGATAGAAATTTCTAGTTCTTAGCTCTTGTGTTGAAAAATTAACCTTTACATAGGCCGCCATGGTTTGGACTGTTATCGTTTGTTCTGGATCATTGATTACCATCGTCATCTGTTTAGCAATGTTTAAAATCGCTTCCTCAAGAGCAGCTTTACGTATAGCAACCATCTGTAAACCTTTAGATTTTAAAAAAGTAGGATCATCTTTGGATTTAAATTATAAATGATTGTCTTAATCAAAAATTTTTTTGGAATGAAATGGATGCTCATGGAAAAAAAGGGAGAAACAAAGTCTAAATTTTGAAACTAAATTAAGTCTAGAAAACTTATTTGCAAGAAGAAAAGTTAGTCAACTGACATAATCTGAAAATTGGACTCAGAGCTGAAGCAAAATTTTAGATACTACTTGTAACATAGGAATATTTTTAGTGTTCAAGGGGTCTTAGGGAGCAGATTAAATGTGTACAACTAATCGCTTTTTTTTCTTACCTTACGTTCGTGGTTAGACTCGATAACATAGAAAATGGTAGCTCCAAGAAGAGTATAGAAGAAGACGAGCAGAAGCAAGCATACGTGCTGAAACCCAAGCTTTCGCGGGTCGCGGAGAGTATCCAAAATTGTGCATCCTATTCCTGGAATTAGAGGACGATGGAGGATTCGTGAAACTAAAAGCCACCAAGTATTCATCAAAGCAACTTTGCTTACTGGAAAAAAATGATTTTTTCTCAGATTTTGTCCAGGGCTTCTGAATGACTTCATAGTAGTCGTCTTTAGGAACATGGCCTGAACGATAGTCGTTTCTTCACACTATATTTATTTTCCGTTATTTCACAAAGGAACTGAACTGCTACAGTTACATGCTAACAATTTCGAAGCGACTTGATCGTCCAACATGGTCGGCTTTCTATCAACTTTTTGAAAAAATGGATGTTAAATTTTACTTTTTTAAGAACTTAGAATGACCGTTATGTGTCACCTCCCGTGAACTCAATGATGCTGTATGGAATGGATATATTACTTAATATAGATTTCAACCTATATATCATTTATCAACACTATTACGACCACTTTTTTCTGTAAGACCATCTTTCATATACACTGTGCTGATTTCAGCACATCTTGCATTTGATTCACTTCCTCGTATCCATCATCTTCGAAAGCCTTCCAAATTTTTAAATACGGCTTTGGCTGCTACCCGAAGATCTTCCTGTCGTCATGAGTGTCGTTGAATGCTGCTCGAGTGGATTCTCCCTGAAGTACTAAGACCACCTGGCTAGAGCGTTCTCACTTGGATTGCAGAGAATGAACTTTTTTCCGTATAGGTCCAGTACCGATTCCCTGTGAGCGTGATCGCACCAAAACCGTGCTCGTGATAATCGGCATCAGTACCACTGTGCCTTCTGCCCCTATTGCAACCATTTGAATTATATCTTACTCGTAGCGAGCACTATCAAGAATATTGAGGATAAGGGGATATTAGCATGAAATGAAGTTGGGAAACTCTTACATTTCGATTGATTCAGTGGATCTTCGTCAGTGTTCGACTTTCCGACGAACGATATTCGATCCATCTTTTGGAGGTTATGCCCATATAACGATGCAGGCACTGCGCTGATATCAACGCTGGAGCTGAACTGGTTTTATTTAGATTACAACTGTGGCAGAAATGTTAAACAATAAGTGAAAGGCACAGTAAGTTAACGTCAAGTAGAACTGGAGGGCAGCAGATATGGTACTAATTATAAAATAATAGGTGCCACACCTATTCTGGCTGCAAACAATGGATATCGCCGAAGCGTTGGATGTAGGTGGAAGAAAGCCATCTGAAATTGAAGGCGTTCGTGCTTCGGAATTCAGAATTTCCATTCGTATTTCAAGAAACAGCATAAAAACTAACCGACTACTTAAAAAACATCTTAGGTTTTTAATATAAAAAATTTCTACTGATCCGTTTGTGCTACTAGATTTTTGGCGAGCAAACTCTTTAGGATTGCTCGATCCCACGACTTCTCAGTAAAATAAAAATGAAAAATAAAACAAGAGAGGTTCGGTCGTTAACAAATTTTTTTTTCTACATAAGCTAACGCGCTCACCTTACGTTTGTACACTTTTGATACCGCGCCTACTCTTTTCAACTATTTGGCAGTTGCAAGCGATCTACAAAAAAGTTTGCAACAACAGGTAAGTGATGTTGTATTAGAGTCTCCTAGACGGAAATTGAACATTCCACCGTATGTGCACGATTGCACTTTTCCGAACTGGGAATCATAGCTCCTCAGGGAATGAAAATAGGTTTAAGCACATAACTTCTTCGACCATGTGAGAAATCCTAGACCGGATGCTCATCAATGGGTAATAAATCAGCTCCACTTACTTTTTCCTGGGACTTTGACAGAAAGGATTCGACCATATCGAGAGACTCCGGCACCATGCTCCTAAAAGTTTGTTGTTATTCTAATGTTTCACCTAGAAAACCAGCTGGTTTTTGTAGCATGAAGGCTCTGACTATATGTAGCGTAATGGCCATGAATGCTCTGTGTGCACAAGATTGTCGTTACTGTCTTGCTACCTTGATTAAACAAGTCCTTCCAGGGTTGGAAAGAGTATTCTGGTAGGATAAACACATCGATTTGATATATCGCCACGCCCTCGCAAATGGTTTTATAAGGAAATTATACATCATATCTTCTTTACGATGTTTAGAGAAATCGATGGCTCATGGAGCCTTCTGAAAGCTTAAAGGCTGTCCTTCGTGCACGGGCCTTCTTTAATGAGCAGATTAATACGCAGAGTTTCATCCTTTATAACCTCCTGTTTTTCCATGCCGAAAACTTGTTGCGATAAAGTAACGAGTGACTACTGCATGTTCCAAAAAGTCAAAAATACTGAAAGTTTTTGCCTGCTTAAAAGAGCGAAAAATTTTTTATGTTTTTTGCGGAAAAAGGGAAAAAGTTGTTTATCGAGGACCATAGGAGGCAAGGAAAAGTCGTTGACGCCGTTGGCATCGTTGGCATCGTTGGCGTCATTACGAACTTCTTGGAGAGTTGAGTCGTTTGTCATCCAACTGATAAAACCTTCATATTTAAGAGGAGTAATTAAACAAATCAATTAGATATAGAAAGCATTATACGAATGATAAAGGAGGAAAGAATCGCCAACAAAAACAAGAATGGTGTCAAAAAAACCTTTCGAAGAAGTAGTTAAGGATAGAAACCGAAGATAGATTAGAAGAGATATAGAAGAGACATATAAAGCTGCTATCGAGCACTTTATCCCAGTAGAACGCTTTACTAACTTGGCCATGGTTTAAGCCCTTTTGTCACCACCGGAATGCCTCTGCCTCCTTTTCTGTTGGTAGAGAAGATAACCAGTAGCAGTGGTAGCGAAGTCGATCATCACAAGCGCACTACTGATCCGATTCCGCACGCAGCCCATGAAGCCTTTTACCTCTCCAGGCGAGGAAGAGACTGGTACCAGACTTGTTTGAGAACAAATCACTCTAGGTGGGAACGCTCTAGCGCAACTATTTCAGCACCGCAGAAATAATGGACTCGACCACCTTTCAACGAAGTTCGTAGCGAAAACGAAAATCTTCAAAGGATAGCCGAATTTACGTTCGAAAAGTTTGAGGACCATCGTCTACAGGGGATGCGAGAAAACAAATCGAATGGAAGAAGTGCAGGCATTCGTGCTGTAAACGTGAAAAGAGCCTTGTAAAATAAAGCAAAAAAATAATAAACACTGGAGTGGTACTATCAAAATAGTGAGCAACTAATGGCCCTAGTATGCGAACCGGTTGAAAGTGCCAAATCCTGAGTTGTGAAGTGATCCCTCTTATAGCTAACTGTTGACGTTATCATGGCGATTAAGAGCACATACGCAAACATTACGTCGTCCGTTGAAAGCCTGATCTTTGAGATCAATAGTGCGAGAAAACTACCCGACTAAATGATAAGTACAATATTTTATGCTCCTTGAGATTCGGATAATCGTCGGTGGTGAGCGATTTGATGTTATTGGATGCTGGTTTTATTTTAGTATGAGATGACACTTTACCATTTTGCGATGACATGAGCTCTATAGGAGTCATAACAGCTTATAACAGCACCCTATAATCATATTAATTGAGATAAAAACCATTAGAACGCGTGAATCTATGGATACGGGATAAAAGTTTTCTTGCTCCACCACGGTAAGTTTGCAATTTTTTGGGTTCCACGACATATATCCTTTCCATGTTATTGCTTGAAGGCCCATATTTTGAAAAAGAAAGCAAACGAACAAGCGGAACTTTATATAACAAACAGGGTACGATGGCGGTAAGTAGAAGGCAGTTGAAAGTGCTGCTTCGATACCTTTCCTTTCACTCCTGCGGCGCTGCTGTAAAACCACCATGTGGGCTCTGTTTGCTCGAAATCTGGAAGATCTCCGAAAATTTGGCACTGAGTCCTTCATTCTTGTAAGTTTTGTCTTAAAGTTACCAACAACAAGTTTATCAGCTTAGCAACTTCGAGTGGTGATGTCGAACATAATCTCAGCTGGCCCTATTGGAGAGATGAAACACTAAGAGTAAGGAAAGTTGACCACTCGCCGTGCGTTGCAGGTCAACATCACTAAACTTCTTGTCCACATTATGAAGCGGAAAACCGTTTAGAAACATATGAAACAGTGCAGATCAGCACATTGTCTTTAAAAAACATAGTTAATTCATCCCTGTTTGACGATGATTATCACGTCTTTCCGTCGCCACAATATATCGAAGAGCTACTTTACAGGCTAAACTTCACTTCAGATAATTTAGCAATTACCTCTGCTTTTCAAGTTCTTTATCAATGGATCTATTCCCTAAGTGATAGGAGCCGAGTTGGATTGTTCAAATAAAGATTAGGTGATCCGTTCTCACGACAAAGTTGCCCAAGTGCACTTCCACTGAGAGCTTGCCGTCTTGCCCTTCATGTTCCACTCAGATTCAAGCTGGAGATAAAAAAGTTACTTGTTGAGAAATCCCCTGAGCTGTAGCTAATCTATAGAACCTTACACCTTTTATTGAACTTTTTTCAATCACCGGTGTAGCGCAGTGTTCGGAGATGCTCTACCATAAACATGAGATCGACCCCTGCGCCCTTTGGCTAACCAAACCTTTCAGCCGTCCGGAGTCGGCAAATTGAT